ATTCATATTAGATTTAAATTGCTCAGTACATTATATTTTCTCCTTCCCGTTGTGTCTTTCAGGATGTCAAGACGAAGAAGACGATTGGTGGGGGGTTTGAGAAGGATAGTCTTTACTACTTTCAGCCAACTACTGCTCCGACAGCTCTACATTCCACCTCCTCTTCAGTTTACCAGTGGCATTGCCGCCTTGGACATCCCTCTTCAAATAGTCTTCGAGCCTTGGTCCCTTCTTTAGTTGATTTTGCTAAATTTAATTGTACTACTTGCGAACTTAGTAAACATCGTCGAGCTACTTTTAAGTCTCGTTTTGATAATAAAAGTTTAAAACCTTTTGAGTTAGTACATTCAGATGTTTGGGGACCAGCTCGTACTACTGGTTTATTTGGTGCTCGTTATTTTGTTTCATTTATTGATGATTATTCACATTTAACTTGGGTTTATATTCTTAAAGATAAATCTCAAGTATTTTATGTTTTTCAATCATTTTATGCTGAAATTCAAAATCAGTTCGATGCAAAATTACTTGTTCTTAGAACTGACAATGCCCTTGAATATACACTTAATGTTTTTCAAAAGTTTCTTGAGTCAAGGTGCATTATCCATCAAACATCTCGTGTTGATATTCCTCAAAAAAATGGAGTTGCTGAACGGAAGAATGGCCCATTCCTAGTTATCTCTCGTGCCTCAATAATTCAAATGCATGTTTCAAAACATTTTTGGGCAGATGCAGTTCTGGTTGCTGCTTATCTTAATTTTAAACTACATGCCTTCTAGGGTCCTTCAAGGAAAATCACCCTTCCAAATGATGTTTCTTGACAAAAACCCTTTTTTCATTTCTCCAAAGGTGTATGGGTGGGTCTGTTTTGTTCAAAATCTAAGCCCAAGATGAGACAAACTTGATCCTCGTGCTCACAAATGTAGTTTCTTAGGTTATTCTCGCACTCAAAAGGGATATAAATGTTACAATCCAACTTTTCGTAAACAATTTGTGTGTGCAGATGTAACTTTCTTTGAGGATGTTCCTTATTATTCCCAGAAAGGGAGTCATTTAGAGGACTCTATTCTTCAAGAGTCTGTTATTCCAACTCCAGTTTTTGATTCTAACATCCCACCAGCTCTTCATGTCTATGCTCGTTGCTGGAAAAGAGTAGTTAATCATGTTCCACTGACTGAAGTAATAAACCCAGCCTTTCCACTTCCACCAGTCGCTTCAACGCTTGAAGATTCTTCTATCTCTTCAGACTCTGGTCTTGATCAACTTATTGTTGTTCGAAAAGGTAGACGGTCTTGTACCAATCACCCTATCTCCAATTTTGTATTGTATAATAAATTGTCCTCCTTCTTTCAAGTATTTTCTTTGTCATTATCCTCTATTGCTCTTCTTAAGTGCTACAAGGAGGCACTTTTTCATCCAGGGTGAAGGAAAGCTATAGAAGAATAAATACACGCTTTAAAATTGAATCATACTTGGGACCTTGTTCCTAAGGCTGTTGATACTAAAGTTGTTGGTTGTCGTTGGGTTTTTACTGTTAAATAGAAGCCTGATGGTACTATTGACCGTCTCAAAGCTCTAACTTGTTGCTAAAGGCTACACTCAGACTTATGGCCTTGATTATACTGAGACGTTCTCTCTTATGGCCAAACTGAATTTTGTTCGTGTGATAATCTCTCTTGCAGCTAATCTAGACTGGCCACTTCATCAACTTGATGTTAAAAATGCCTTTCTGCACAGTGAACTTTCTGAGATAGTCTGTATGACTCAACCACCTGGGTTTGAGTATAAGGGGGAGTGTGTATGTCATCTCAAGAAGTTTATTTATGGCCTCAAACAGTCCCCTCGTGCATGGTTTGATAAGTTCAGTAAAGCAATGGTAACTTATGGTATGACTAGAAGCCAGGCTGACTACTCTTTCTTATTTAAGAAAACGAAACTGTGGTATTGTGATTCTTGTGGTGTATGTAGATGATATCGTTATCACCGGCAGTGACAAAGATGTGATACAAGTTCTAATCTTTCACTTGAGTTCTAGCTTCCTTACTAAGGATTTGGACAAACTTCGGTATTTTCTAAGAATGGAGGTGGCTTGGTCTAAGCAAGGCATTAGTCTTTCTCAACGGAAGTATACTCTTGATCTCTTATAAGATACTAGATATCTTGGTTCGAAACTTGTAGCTACACCCATGGAGACTAATGTAAAACTTAAGGTGGATGATAGTAATTCACTCGATGATCCAGAGATGTATCGGAGACTTGTAGGTAAACTTATTTACCTCACAATCACTCGTCCAGACATCTCCTATGTAGTCAGTATTGTGAGAAAGTTCATGACCAGTCCTCGGGTACCTCACATGGATGCAGTTGTACGCATCTTGAAGTATCTCAAGGGTGCTCCGAGACGTGGTCTGCTTTATCGATCTTCTGGACATCTTCGGATTGAGAGATACACAGATGCAGATTAGGCCGGTTCTTCTTCTGATCGAAGGTCCACCACGGGTTACAGCACTTTTATGGGACGAAATCTAATAATTAACTTGGAGGAATAAGAAACAGTCAGTTGTGACTCGTTCCAGTGCTGAAGCAGAGTATTGTGCCATGGCACACATTGCCTGTGAACTTACTTGGTTGAAAACTCTTTTACAAGAACTTACGATTTCAGTCTAGTACCCAATTCCTCTCCATTGTGACAATCAGGCAGCTATTCATATTGCTAGCAATCCAGTTTACCATGAGAGGACTAAACACATTGAAATAGATTGCCATTTTATTTGATCTAAAGTTGACTCGAATGAGATTGTTACACCTTTTGTTGCTTCTGGTAGACAACTGGCAGACATCTTCACTAAGGCACTTCCCAAGAACTCTATTGATTCCATATGCAGCAAGTTGGGAATTATTAACATTTACTTTCCATCTTGAGGGGGAGTGTTATACAGTATTGTATGAGTTATCATACATGCACATTTAGTATTGTATGAGTTATCACATACCCCTTATTACCATATATAGAATTACCATGTATAGGGTTTACTTGTTCCACTCACTTACTCCCGTAACTTTTTCCTATATAAACACCATTGTATTATTGTATTACTCACTCAATAAGATATATGTTTTTATATATTCTCAAACTTTTTTTTTTCTCTCTCTCTCTCAACAGTAAGAAAAGGGAAATTTGTTTCCAAAGAATGTAAGAGAGAGGGACAAGGATAAAAATAAATGACTTGTTAAAAAAAAAAAAAAAAAAGAGGATAAAAATTAATATGTAATATATAATATGTAATGAAGTTATTATTGATTAGAAATAATTTCAAAAAAATTAATAATATTGAGAGGGCATGTAATATATTGAAAAGATCGAAGACAGACCTAATCTTTGATATAATTTTATATTAATCTGCAACATCCATTTGTTTACTATTACCAGACTTTGCTAGCCACAGTAGTTCCAATCCTACCCAAGATCCTTTCACTTATGGAGCTAGTTAGACATCTTAGGCAACTCTCTAAATCTAAATTTAAGAATTTTCTTTTATCTTGAAACATTTCACTCCCCAGTTACTTGATAACTTATACTAAAACTATAAGGCTCTGTTTATTTGGATATAAAATATTTTTTAGTTAGACATCTTAGGCAACTCTCTAAATTTGAAATTAAGAAATTTCTTTTATCTTGGAACATTTCACTTCCCAGGTACTTGATAACTTATGCTAGAACATAAGACTCAGTTTATTTGGATATAAAATATTTTTTAAAAAATATATTTTTTTATTTTTGTAATGTTTGGTAGTCATAAAATATTTACAAAGAAAAATATATATTAAAATTTAACAAAAATAACTTACCCATCAATTGTAGTCAAGTTAATTTACATGCCCGACCTGATGGACTCAACGTCAACCTCAACCTAGACCTTTGTCAAACATCGTAAAATAAAAATAAAAAAATATTTTACTTGAAAAATAAAAATATTTTTTGAGAAAGATATTTTACATTTTGACAAAGCTTAAGAGTAAAATGAAGTTATCTAACATCTCCACCTTGACAAGCCAGTACTTCTTAAATCATAAACTCCTTATAAATGATGCAAAGAAATTTCAAATATTTTGTATCAGTGAAGGAAATACCACACCACATTATTGGCTACAGACCATACATTAGGCATCTGAAAATCACAGTGGAAATATCTAAACTTTTTTTTTTTCTTGGTAAAATTTCATTGAAGAATTTTCTTTTCCCAGAAGAATGTAAGTAGGCTCTTCTCTAGACAGGTTCTTAAAGTCGCCAAATTATTATCCAGAGGATCAGAGCTATACCCTAATTCTTCAGTAAAGGGTTTCAAAACTCTCTACGTTACACATTTTAGGTGTTTTAAAGAGTAGCATATGAGGATAACTAATTCTTTGTAGATGTAAAGTTAAATCATATGTGAAAGCAAAACCAGCTGCCTGTCAACATATTCAGCCGACACGCCTATAACATTGTTGAACAGTCTGTAGAAATGTTCAAATTAAGTGAAATGAATTTCTAGCTAAACTAATTTATTAGGACCATGCCAAAAATCAGTTGTGTTGTCACTGTTATCGTTCAGAAAATCGTGTCTTATTCTTCACGAACAACTTCTATTATTGAGTTTCGATTTCTCCTTCACATAGTATCTAAACCTATGAACATTCCCATATGAAGTATTAAATCTATGCATATTCAAATTAATTCCTCTCTAAACCTTCCTTTCATTAATAATGCAACAGGTAGCAACACCAGAATAAAATTCCACTCTTCATGAATTAGTTTATACATTGAATTTAATTTTCTAGTAGCTCCTAATCCACCTAAACAAAGAAATCATGCAACATTAGGTCTAAAAAAAAGAACATTACTATAGAATGCTGCATTCATTCTTTTATATTTCAGTGTCCAAATTGGAGCTCTGTTTCTTTAATCAACTAGCTAATCATTGGATTTTTTATTTTTTATTTTATTGTTTTGGATAAAAATATGAATAAGGCTTTCAATATAGAAATCTTGAAACTCAAAATACAGCTGCCATAAATTCAGTTATGTAACAATAAAATCTTTTCAACACAACCCCCTCAAATCACTACATAATACAAAGGATAAAACATACATTATTGCCATTTTCTCCGTCTCTGATACAGAATTCACTCTTGATAGGAATTGGGAGTACATTATGTTGAAGCAGAAGAATATGATCACCATAAGATACCTGCTTCACAATTCATGGAACACAAATACTTCAAAAATAAGGGCCAAAAAGATGAGAAAATTTGTTTTCATCTTGGTTAATTAGAGTTGGAATTCGGGTTACATACCTGTTTAAAGTAGGATGCTGCCCTGTTGATCCATGTATTAAACAGAAACTACACAAAAATGGTTACTGTTTATTAGATTATAGAAGCAAATCATTGTGCACTATATAATAGGGCAGTAAACTAGCATCTTCACACACATCTAAATTAGCAGTAAATTAATTAAGTTACTCTATCATCAAATATGATTAGATGACAAGATATTTTTCAAATCACCTTTATAGACAAGAAACAGCAGCTATGCAGTTTAAGAGAGGCAGGAAAGATTGAGTTATCCTGTGAGTACCTTAGAGCGCGCATGTGAAGGTTTTGTGACAATACCTTTCGGAAAAGAAAAAAAAACAAACAAAAGGGGTCTTGTGACAATTAACTTTTCTCAGGACACTCGTTAGTCTCCTAAAGCAAAAAAGGTCTAGCTTTAAAGATGGAATATTCATGGGCGAACGCATAAATACATACTGCATCATATGCACATACATTATAAATAGTACATATGTTGATGTTTCTTTCTAAAAAATTACAGAAAATTAGCATGACTAAGGAACATCTTAGAAGAGGTAAATTAATCATGGTTCCATCTACGTTCCTTTTCTTTTTTCCCCTTTGTCTCCGGTGAGAGGCCAATCCCTCTCATTCACTTCTATCAACTTCCTTTTACAATCACATCTAGATCAAAATTTGAAACCATTTGGATATATATATTGTCGATCAATTTGGCATTATTTAGATGGAAGACTGGCCTTTCTATTGAACTATCTCAAATTTCATGAGGCACTTCATAATCTACCCTTCCACGGATTTGAACATGACCTTGGCTTCAAATCAACAAATTTTCTGCTCTTCATCATATGAAAAATCTAACATTCATGCATAATTAATGACCATAGCTATCATATTGTCAAGGTTATCATACAATAAAATCACTTCCTTCCTAATTCTTGAATTTCCAAGGACATAAGTTCACTACAAAAGCATTTCTTAGCTAGGACATAATTATGCCCTTCTTATAAGCATCTCCTTCTTAATTCTTGAACTCAATTCCTAGGACATAATTTTACGCCGAAAGCAGATGCCCAAGAACATTAAAATGCATGTAGAATACAAACTTTTTTGAATGTAGAATACTAACTTCCATCTGAAATTCCTATTACTAGTGGATCCAATGAGATAGATTTATAATAGCTTTAGAGACATAACATTTTGGTGTTAGCAACTACGGTACAACAACCTACAACCTAAAAAGGATTGGCTATCCTTTTTAGGTTAAGGTATGCTATCCTCTCTTGATAATTATGCTTGACGGACTATTACAAGGTAGGATAATCGTCCTTGATTCTAGTCTCTTGATATTTTCTTTACTGTTCAGAATTACAAAGGCAAAATATTCTGACAAAATATCTACATATCCTTCTCTTTATTGCATATTTGTGAAACAGAAATTGCAATATATAGTTGGATCAAAGTAGACAAATGACTCGGCCTTGTCGAAAAAAAATAATAAATAAATAAAGAGAGAGACTGCTAGAGAAATTCCTCGAGTTACATTAAACTACTTCATTTTCTTTCAGCTGATATATTCAGAAAAGGCAAGTGGTCAAAACTATGTGAATCATGAACTTGATCTTAGTCTACCATTTCAGCCATATATAGTTTCCTAAGAAATTAATCCTTTGCCCAATATTGTCTAATTTTAAACATCAAGAAACTGAAGATATATAATTAACTTGAAATCCAGTTCATACCCGAAACTTATATATTTTTAGCAATTCTGCATAAAGATGTTCTTATTGGGAAAAACATTGTGTGAAAATACATGGTAATAGAATACGAGGCTGGCCAGCAAGCTAGGGTTACTTATTTGTGGCGTTGTGTACTCAGTTTTCAGGAATAAAAATAAGTTTTGATGCTGTTTCTGATGGCTAATTGAACTTCTCTGCCAACTGTTACATTCAATTGGCACATTGTCAGATTATCTTCTAAAATAAAATAAAAAGTAACACCAACAATAATATTAGCAGCTAGTATTAAAAAAAAAAAAAAAACCTTTACCCTAAAAAAATAAATAAAAATCAGGCACAAAGTACCCATTTTACACTTGAACAGATCTAGAACCATAAATTACATCTCTGTAGATCGAGTTCTATACCTTATCATCCTTGACTGTGGTTGTCATAGACCTCCCATGATTTGCCATAGATTTGAAATTCTGCGAATTTTAGTAGACAAAAATTGAAATCTGAAGTATATAATTAAGAGAATTGAGCTAGGTTTTTGTTTTTGGGTGGTACGTACCTCTTGATAGATCCATGTTGGTCATAGCAAAAGAGCTAGGCTGAGTGACACTGCTACTAATGTCCTCCATTATCTCTTCCTTTAGTTCTTGATTATCTTGATAATTGGAGTTGTCGATTTCATCATCCACCTTAAGGGAAGATATTGTGATCTGGCTATAGGAACCCAACTCATCACAAGTCTCAGACATAGATCTGCTCAAGATAGGAAGGCTTGAATCCGAGAGCTTTTCGGAATCTTTAAGCTTCCTAGTGCACATCTTCTCCCTTGTTCTTGCCCTTGCCCTTGCTCTTGCCTTTGCCCTGGACTCTCTTGCAAGAGCATCACGAAAATAAGATAATGGATTCTCTTTCGAAACAACTGTTCCCTGTGACTCTCCATTGTCATCAGCAGCTTCATTGGTTTCCAAGCTTTCGGAATCAGTAGACAAAGTACTCCTGGCAGTACCACCACCGGTGCAGCTGTTCTTCGTGTGCTCTTCTAGCTCGCTAATGGCGGCCTGGGACTTGTTGAGAAGCCATTCAAGGGTTTCACTTGCTTTGTCAAACCCTAGCAAGTCTTGAAGGCCGAAGAACTTCCGAGAAATCCCTATGGACAGCCTCACTCTCCGGTGCCTCGGACCTTGAGCTGTACAAATCTTGCTGTGCTTGTCTTTCTCCACATTTTTCTTCTTAGGAAGTGGATTTGTAGCATTGTTTGGGCTTGCCATGCTCGAAAAGGCCTCTACGGAGAAAGCATTGGCCGGAAACAAGTGACCGGGAAGCAGATCTTGGGGGTGAAGGAGAATGAAGTTGTCATTTAGGGCAATGGTGGAAGGAGGAGGAGGAGGAGGAGGAGTACTTAAGCTGAAGGGTGAAGGAAACTGCTGATAAGGGTTGACACTGTAGCTTGAAGAGAACATTTGTTGCATAGCTAAATTGCACCCGACAACCCTAGCTTTTTGAAAGTGAAGTAATGAGAGAAAAAGCTCTTGAAAGAGATAAACAGTGTGGTCTTTGTCAGATTCACAATCTATTCAAGCCAAGACTTGAAAAAAAAAAAAAAAAAAAAAAAAAAAAAAAGCATGAGAAAGACCTCTATAGCTCTGTGTACCTTCCCTTTTCCTTTCTTTTCTTCTTTTGGTGTGGTGGAGGAAGTAATAGAATGTGGTATTTGATTGATGAAAGGGCACTAACTGGTACTAGATATTGGGTACAAAATGCTTTATTTTTATCATTTCTTATCCCCAAGCAAGGAAAGAAAGCTTGAGAAAGACATCTATGCACTGAGAGTGAGATAGAGAAAGAGAGGGGGAGATGAACCTAGCTAACAATGGCCTTTCACATGATGAACCAAGGCACTATCTGCTACTTAATGGACAGACAGAACAGCTTTGCTTTCTTCAATATTTTATCTTTAGGGCAAAGTACTGTGTGTCTGTGTGAGAGAGAGAGAGGTGGGTGGTGTGACTGGCTATGATATAATTGTGCCATTTGATCACATAATAGTGGCAGAGATTAGAGATTGACGACAAGTCGGCAAGTCCCCTTCCAGCTACGTTTTAAAATTAAGCTACTGTACTTGTGAGGACTGTGTATACAAACATGTTTTTCCTTTGTATACTTATATATATATATATATATATATATATATATACACACACTCAAATAACTACTCATACTTTATACACATATGTCTAATCATCCTTGTAATGGACTTCACAAGAGGTTGTAAGAATTGACCGTGGAACCCCTAAGGTGGGCCCTTTGGACTCACTCTTAAAAGATAATCCACGGGACACTGGTGAGACCCGAACACCGGAATAAGTCACAAATAATTCAAGAAAACTACCGCCTGTGTCTTTTTAGTGTCGAATCAAGGACCTCTCCCTCCAAAAGATCTATCTCACGCTTCTATTTCATTGGACAATTGTTAAGTATTGCGAAGCTTGCTTTTAGCAGCAAATACAGAGTATTAAAGATCTTAATCCATGTCGCAATGTCATTCGTTATAAAATTTTCTATTAAAGATTAAAAGATGTACGGAATACTTATAATTAATTAATTTCATAGGACTAATAGGTTAAAGTTGTAGGTAGTAATTGCTTGCTTATCTCTAGGGTTTAAGAGCATTAGTGTATTCATAAAGGCCGTGAGCTTTATGTGATTATGCATGCCTACACGTGCCCTGTCTAACACCTCTACGAATACGACAAATCAGTCACACTCTGCCTTTTAAGCTAATGCTCTTTGAGGACTTTGACTGGACATTCATGCATCTTCTCTCTCTCCTATCCACAAGAACCACTCTCACCTGTTTCTGTTTTTGTTTTTGTTTTTTTTGTTTTTTTTTTTTGTTTTTAAGAACATCTTAATTAAAACCCTATTTTCTTTACCATTCTCAATATCGAGAAATTATTCAATGTCCCTGCATAACTCACGCCCTAAACTCATTTATATAAATATTAATGTGAACAAACAACTATATACCTTCTCTTAATTAATTTCTGTGTTTTTTTTTTTTTTTTTTTTTTTGGGTAAATAGAGGTCTTTGATGGATTCCCAAATATTAATTCATTTGCACCTGTTTGATCTCACTCTCTGTCAGTTTCTCTCTCTCTCTCTCTCTCTCTCTCTCTCACACACACACACACACACACACACACACACAAAAGAGGGAGACACGACATGAATAGCTGGGAGTAGTTCTGATGGTGTTTTCAGAAGACAAGATATAAGTGGAAAAAATGGAGCCATATAGCTAGCCATCACATATCATGTGGGTGATGGTGAGTGAACAAACCATAATTAACAAATACTTTCGTTTTTTTCTTTGGCTAAAAGGTTGCTTCAAATTCTATGGTGAATTCTTTCTTCTTCTTTTTTTTTTTTCTTTTTCTTTTTCTCTGGTGAATTTTGCTGGCGATAAAAAGTTAGAATCGATGGTGGTCACTGTCTGCTTTATAATTATACTGTATTGGATAGAATTAAGACCTGTGAATAGTAGAAGAAACTGTAATAGTACCATTGAGATGCCTTGTAGCACTGTGTCTCCTGTGCGCCTTTCATTTGACATAACAGAATTTATTTGGCTAATTATTCAAGCCATATATAGATATACATAGGCTTATGTATTGAATTAGGTACCCTTAAATATATTGAAAGGTAAGGTCTATGTATATTGGCTAAGCAAGAGTACTTAACCAGAGACCAACATGGACTAGCAAAAATTGATATGAGCCTCCCCTCTGTCCTCACTCCTTCAAAAAAAAAAAAAAAAAAAAAAAAAAAATTTAGTATTATTGTGCATCAGTTCGGTTTATTTGCAATACTACTGTTGAAGATTTATTGAAAAAAATTCTCTATTATTGATGTTTCTTTTTATTGAAGATACTGAAAGAATTTGTGAAGAAAAATGTTTCAGTATACCTTGGGTATGAAAAGAGAGATTATTATAATAAAAGATATATAACCCTTTGGGTTTTGTATACTGTAGATGTAAGCCCTAATGACTAAACCACGTTATATTCATTCTTTGTTCATTTCTCTTTTTTATTCTTGGTTCTCTTCTCGAATCTCTAGATCTATTCTTATTGAGGTGGTTCTTACACCTCTTCATCAATCAAGGTTACTGCTATTAGTTTTGGATCTTCAGATTCATTTTTTAATGAGGTTGTCTTCTCATACCTCTTCATCAATCGAGACTGCTACTACTTGTCTTGAGATCTTTGGATCCATTTTTATTGAGGTCATCTTGTTATATCTCTTCATCATTTGCACTTGCTATTACTCATTATCTTAATGGCAAGTTGGACATTCATGCCATTTATGCTCCAACTTAAGGGGAGTGTTCAAGATTTACTAGAGGAATAAGTGGAGGAAAATCTTCCAGTATTGATGATTTTTCCTATTATTGAAGATTTACTGCTATATTTATTATTGAAGGAATCAATGGAGGAAAATCCTTCGTTATTGATGTTTCCTGTTATTGAAGATACTGGAGGAATTTGTGAAGAAGAATATTTCAGTATTGATGTTGTTTGTCCTTCTATCTTTTTCCATTCTCATTATTTCTTCTCTTATATAAAGGAGTCTTCAACATTGTATTGAGTATGAAAATAGAGATTATTATAATAAAAGATATGTAATCTTTTGAATTTTGTGTACCGTGAATATAAGTTCTAATGACTGAACTACATATATTCTGATCTTATACTCCTCATATTTTATTTCTCTATTCAATTTTAACAATTACTCCTGTATATATACAATACCACTCTTCCACTTAACTCAGTTTGCAATCCTGGTCCGCCCCTACCTACTCACTCCTCGTACATAATTTGACACTATGATAAGACATGGTTGTGCTCACTTCCCTTTTCTTTCAAAAGTGTTATGATCCATTATATGACCTCTTTAGCCTCAACATCACACTCATGAATGTTATTACCATAGCCAAAGGCTAAAAGGAAATTTTTCTAGGGCACAATTTGACCATTCATAAAAAGCTGATGGGTAATTAACCTTGCCATATGTATCATATATATGATCCATAATGATTTAACTAAAAATGTATTGATGGGTACATTTTTGTATACCTTATTATGAAGTCTACGATCATCTGGTGTTGTCGTTGCAGGTATTTGTTTAAACTGTCAAGTCTAATGTCTACGTGTCATTTGAAAAGTTTGCTAAAGAACCCCAAGTTGGGTCACTAAACCTTGATAACATCATTAAAACCCTGACACATCATGAATTTTTTGTTTTTTTGTTTTTGTTTTTGGGGCTTTGTGGAGTACAAATTTGTTGAAATGGCTTTAAAATTCTATATTAATTATATAGTTGTTCTTGAACGGTAACAATCTATATTTAGCTTGTCAATTACATTGAAATTGCTATTTCTGTATCCTAAAAGCAGGCTCTATCTTTCACATACTTTAGTCACATAAATGTGTGATAGAACAATTCCTACTTCAAGCCATCTTCCTAAGGATATACACAAAAAGACAAAGCTTGGAGAAGCAATTTAAACTATAGTGTTTGAAACTGTAAATGATAGATAGATATATCTCACCAACCAAAAATATGACTTCTCATGTTAAAGGGGTCATTCATGGTTCTTTTCGAGCAAAGCATGAAAGCAACTTTAGTCCTTTCCATTATAATTGTAATTATTTTTTCGCATGTTCTAATTTGCGCGTAAAATGGTCTGGTGATAGGGACACAAGACGAATATATATGTTGTGAATCATATGCATTTTATTTTTGGAGTTAGATATTTCTTCAATGGGTGGTCTTATATATATATATAGAGAGAGAGAGAGAGGTATATATATTCATATTATTGTGTGGCACAGTTTATGAAAACATCAACCACCATGTTTTTTTAATCAGTTACAGTACATTCATCACATAAGCACTAAAGTTTGTTTTTTAGTATATGTCTTGTTATAAACTTGTAGACTGTTTGAGTATTTGCTATAAATATTTTGAGTATTAGATTGTATATACTACACAATTATACAGATATCAACATTTTACTTTACCAGGCTATAATTGTATTATTATTATTATTTTGACTCTTCACAAAATTTTCTATAAGGTTAGAGAAATGCAAATTGAGGGAGGGAAAATATTTAGCAAAGTGAGTGAGAAGGGCTAGCTAGGCCTAGGCCTCCTAACTTTGACTCAACATATTTATTAACTAATAGATTATTTATCACGTAGCTCTTTTATATATATATATATATATATATATATAATTTCTTTTATTAAAATATCAGAATTTATTTTGTTCTTTTTTACTGTTCATATAGGTTCAATCAATGATTTACTGATGTGACAATTAATAATTGAGATAAACAGTTAAGAGGAATATCCATTTTTGTAACATTGCTCTTTAAATTAATATTTCTATTTTGATATTTTGATTAATTGAAGAGTAAATCACATATACTTAAAAACAAAACCAAAAACCAAAAACAAAGAAAAGAAAGTTTTGGTTTTTTTTGTTTTTTAATCCTATAAGAAACTAGTAATCTATTAACACAATTTAGTAAAAATAGCTCTCAGAAACAAAGAAATAAATAGCCTACTGACCTAATTTTCTGTTTTTAAGAACAAGAAGAGCAAAAAACTGTTTCTAAAATCAGTGCCAAGTCAGCTCCACTTTACACATCACCAACCGAAGCCCAAATTGGTTCCCGTTTGCAGGCTTAAATTTATAATAAAGCCCACACCTTAAAACCAAACCCAACTTTTTCATTTTTTTTCGGATACCTACTGTCCCAGTCAACTGAAGCCCACTCTGTTCCATCCACTTGGCTTTGACCGACTTCGCAATCCTGTTATGCTCTACTTGGTTACATGAATTATGGGTGTATCTATTGTAGGGTTTGCAATACCATCAGTCAATGCGATACGACACTATGTACGAGTTAAGTGAGTTTAAATTGTAAATGGATTAACTCGATTAACTTATTTAATTAAACGTATTTAAATTGAAGGATTCAATCAATTTATACTCTTTAACCATACATGTAATAAATAAATTTATTTTGAGTTTCAAAATAACTATTTAAACTTACATCTTGTAATTTATTTTTTTTAACAAATTAGAGATTATTTAGTAATTTAGTTGTATTGAAATTTATATTTTTCTAATATTTATTGTTTGAATGAATATTATTAAAAATTTAAATAATAAAATGTTTCGTTTTATTAAATAAGCCATTAAATGTATAACCCATTTAATAAACAAGTTGGGTTAGTATTGAGAGTTTCTGACACGATTATTAAATGGGTCGTGTTCGAGTTGAGTTATTTAGTAAAATATTCTTAAGTCGACACATGATGATTACTATTCGAGAACGCGAATTGCCAACCCTGATTGACTGTACCAGATAGAGCATTCAGTTCCATGAGTAGTTGTGTCCGTGTTCGAGTCTCTCTTCTTTCTAATTTGTCAAGAAATTTTTTTTTTTAACCGGATCCTTCTTGTTCACCCGTGCTATAATCTTATATCATTACATCGCTTATGCAATAACTGTTTATCCAACAACTTCATATCCTTTTATGTAACAGTAACTACTTTTTTTTTTTCTTTTATTTATTTATTTTTTATGTTGCACTAACAATTTAAATGCAACACAGGAGATGATTTCGGTTCGTGTTAAGTAATCAACAATATATATACATATATTTATTTATTTATGTATATGTTGCGCTAATTATTTAAATTATTAGATGAGCCCGATACCATTATTCTCGGCTAATTACGAAATAACACAAACAAAAATTTAATTGAAAATGATATAAAACTTAAGTCACATAATTTTTTTTAATAGGTGTCGCTCTTACACTTTAGAGAGTTTCAACTCTACGCCCACTTGTTTTCACACTCCAATTCGCGCTTTACATGACTTAGCATAAAACCGCACTTATAACAATTGTGCTTCCTATGGGGTGGATCCCGGTTCGTGTCAATTAATCATCCTTGATGGGAAAGGTGCAACCAAAATGGATGTGACATGTAATGAAACGACCAAAGTTGGAAAATATGTACATGCACTTATTTTTCTTCAGAGCACTAGCAATAATAGATGTACTCCAAACCCCAAATTTTAGCTTTTTAAACATAGAATTGTGTGTGAACCACGTTGGATGCATCCCAGGTTTTTAGTAATAGACAAAAACTGGTTCCTTCTGTCCTCATTGGCCGTGTGATGCATCAAACCTTTGATGTATTAGAACCCATTGTAACTAACTTATTCTGGTGAGACTCTAAGCAACCAAACCAAGCCACCAAATTTGTTCCAACGCAAATGCTCTCCTACCCTTCTATGCCCTAATGCAACAATTGCAAATGCCCTATCTGCAACAAAGCTTTAGAGTAATCAGAGCCTATGTTTATTTGATGCCAAACAATACTCTATATTTGAAGTTTGGTTGCTTAAGCTTTTCTCGGAAAATAATCATGACCAGTCTTCCACCGCCATCATTATCATCATTCATGCTTTAATCCTATGTGAATAAAAATGAGCAATATTCCACCATAATTAGTTTAATTGGCGAGAAAGAAAGAAATGCCTATCGTTTTCAAGATTCCTTATACCACGTGCTCAGTGTTCATATGGGATCAAGCTCGTGATCACAAGCTTAATCCCATATTAATGGGCCTATGTTGATGAAAAAAAATGCCAGCCTACATGAGTTAGTGTTTACAGACTTATTCCGCCGAAACTAATAGAGTTTAGAATTGGTTGGTTTGTTTTACGAACTCGATTCAATTACAGTTTTTCTTGTTTGCTTAATAAATAAGCTTGATAAGTGCACTTTAAATGAGTTAATCTCGAGTTGTTTATGATTAAATCGGTTCAAAGTACTCTTCTTGGTAAGTAAGATATTGCTTTTTAGAGTACACAATATAAAGGGACCATCTCTAAGATGCATGTGGTAGTTATGGAGTTACCGACCCTATCCTAAGTATTAATGTTTTATTGTGCATGTATCTATATATAAAGGAATCAGCCCTCAAAATTGAATACATGCACCATGTGCTAGACCTTTGCACATCACAACCTGAATTATGTTTCCCTAACATTAAACATTTTCACAGAGTTCACACACACTTTCGAAGTCACCATACTGATTTAAAGGGGGAAGAGGGAGTATTTATTAGATGTGAGTAATTCTAACGCGGGAGATGATGATGGGCCTTTGTGGGCCCAAACTTTTTGATCGGAATAGTGTGGTGGGATGAGGTAAATGTGGGCCTGTAGCACGTGAGGGGGGCAATAAGGCTGCCATTTTGACGTATTGGACTTTTGATTGGTTATCTTGATGACGTGGCATTTCCTATGTGGTTGGAACATATTACAGGTACTTTAATTGATGTCAGAGATAGCGTTGGGCTTGCTATGGCTTACATACCAGACTCTCCATTACAAATCCAACTTTTCTTCTCCCTTCTCCTTTTTACTTTTTCTAAAAAAGATTCTTATTTAAGATTTTTTACTACTGCTATTTATTATCCACTAATGTAACAATCATAAGTAATGTTGAATGTTTGATCAATGTTATATCTAAATAATTTCAAGGAATCCGCTCAGCGGAAACCAGAGCATTTTGAATTATAAAATTTAAGGTTTGACTTTCACAAAATGTAAATAATTTCTTTGAGTTGCGGTCTGAGACTTACTATTCAGGTGAAATTGCGTCCTTCCTAAATTATTAAAATAAGTAAGAACAAAGCACCGAATACAACAGATTAATCTATATATGTACAAATATTGTTTAACAACCCTTTTATTCAATAAATAAGATAGAATGCTTATCTCAATAAATATAACATGTAACGGAAACAGATATGAGATAAACAATTTATAATTTTTACTTTTTTTAATGAAAGTAATGATAGGAGTCTGACATGTTTAACTTTTGAATCCCAGATTACTAATTTAATTATGATATCTTATACAAGTGACTTGTGACAAAATTTACCATCTCCTCCTAGTGGTAAAATTTCACTAATTTAATTTGTAAATTTAATTACTAAAAATAGAAAAATTAAAAACATAAAATTATGATATCTTATACAAGTGACTTGTGACATTAAATTTGCACTGTAAGGTGCTGTTGGCAGAGAGAATTTTGATGCCCAATTTTCACTATCTTTTGTTTCCATATGGGACCAGAGCAAAGCTAACAGTGTCTAACACTGTTGGACTTTGACCAAACTCTCTGATCATGCATGACTTGCACGTGCACTAGACGCTTAGATTCCATAAATTTAGGGGACCCACTTAAGGGTTTTTGTCACATATGCCAAAGGGGCACCCTTTTTTTTCCAGTCAATATGAGAAAGCAGATCATGTCGGTTTAAAAATCATTGCATGGTACATTAATTTTGTGTATACAAAGTTCATGTCCTCTTTCGAGAAATTCACCCAAATTGATCAAATTTGGGAGAGAAATGACTTGGGGAATAAAAAAAAAAAATTTGATGAACCCTGCAAAGAGGTGCCAATAGGAAAGACAAATATTACCCAATTGTCCTATCTTGGGGTACAGAATCACATGTAATAACCAACACTTTTGGAACCATTTTTTTTTTTTTTGGTCTGTCTGATACAGCTAAGAATAACCAATAACACAACCAAACAGCCCATGGGAAACATTCATAGGTGTTGAACCTCAATATTTTTTTTAGAATGAACAAGATTCTAGTCAGTATATTAGTGTGTTCATCGCTAGTACAGGTTATCTGATCAATCAAAATCATCGTCTGCAATATGGGCTGCAGACTTTGACTGGTACCACAGAAGATCCGAAAACTATTTGAATAGCTTATGAATAGTTTACTACTCACTTTGGATTAATGTTTTACCTTTCACTATTTTAGAGATTTAATTAATTAAAATACACACACTTTTCGAACACGAACATTTTCTTCTTTCTCTATCAGTCCAGAAATCTTTGCATGTAACTTAAAAGTTAAGCATACGCGTTTTTCTAATGATCGGTGTTAAATCAAATCATTTTAATAAGATGGACATTGGCAACATAAAATCAAACAGTGTACCTGTCACACACATTTTTCTAATGACTAGTGATCTGTCTGCTTCTAAAGTGTTTGATGAAGCCAAAATGTCTGCTTTGATATAAACATCACAGTAAAATCAAAGAAACTAAAGCAATCCTTGTAATAATAACTTTAAAGAAAAACAGAAATTAAAACTATGACAATATATATAGCAATCAAAGTTAAATCTCTGATATATTATTAAAAAAATTAGATCTTGGGACATAATCATACATCAAAAGAACACTTCACTATTCCTGACATTTCTCTTTGCTATTTACAATTGGTAAAACAAGAATGAGTGAGCTAGAGAGAGAAAGATAGATATATATAGAGAGAGAGAGATTCAGTCATGCCAGCATAGGAGCATGACTACACATCTCCTCGTAATGTAGAGCCTTCCTCTCTGTTCTTTGAGAAACCTTCCAAATCTCTTGCTTGATAACCTTTTCTTTACAAATTTCTTCATATCCATATCTTCAGATATATATATATATATATATATATAGAGAGAGAGAGAGAGAGAGAGAGGGTATTGAACTGTGTTAGAGAGGGTATTGAACTGTGATAAAGTAGGAGCAAAGAGGGTTCTTATAGAGGAGAGAATGTGCTGTCCAAGAGCTACAACACTCACAGGACCACCAAACACACACACACACACACTCTGAGTGCCACGTCACCATCTGCATCAACATCTAGAAATGAACATCATCAACCAAGATATATATATATATATACTTGGTTGGCCATAAATAATGACAAAGGTGGTAGCCATTTTCTACGAAATTTAACTTGGCATTTTACTACATTTTGAAGATATGGATAACGACAAGAATCATAATATTTATTTTTACAGCGCACATTACAAAAAAATAAAAAATAAAAATAAAAATTATCATATGAATTATATTATAATTTTTTGGAAAATTAGGATATGATTTTTTTTTTGGATAAATAGAAACTATGATATGATTATAGAAGTACTAGGATATATATATATATATATATAGGAGAAGGCATTTTAGCAAGCTGTATTAATTTGAAAGGACAATGACTTTACAGCTACCATGTTATTTCAAGGGACAGTGACTTTACAGCCAAGAATATTGTATTTTAGCAAGTTATATTATTTTCTTTAATTTCAAGCTATATATGTAAACATGGGATTAAACAAATACAGAGATACTTATTCAAAACAAAAGTTGTACTTTCAGAAAACAAGAGAGAGAGAGAGAGAGTTGTATATGCATCCTTCAATTAATTAAACCACGAATTTTTTATTTTAATTTAGTTGTGGAAAAGTGAAATTTTATTAACATTCAAAAAATATTTTGAGTGATCACTTCACTTCTTATGATATATTCAAATTATTTAGAAATTAGATTTAACCATCTTTTGTCCAACGATAAAATTGTTGGGGATAGAAAACCATCATACAATTAGATTACTTAATTTGTTAAAATTTTGCTTACATCCATACAGCGCACTAGAAATTTTATTATTAATAGTGAGTATTTACAATAGAGTTCTCATATAAACGTGATACAAAAAGTATTCGTAAGTTTACCTAAAAGCTTTATCCCCAACCAAGGTTAGGTCCGCCAAACGGCAATATAAAACGCTTACAATTCAGACTCCACAACCAAAACACAAATTGAATAAATATTTACCAATCAAACCTCGTATAAACTAAGTTTTTTCATACTTGAATCACATTGCCACACTTCACCGGTCAAACTTTTTAAGTTTAAAAATATGAAAGCTCTAAACTCAAAAAATTGTAATAGGATTCGATTGATAACTTGATTCCAGACAAAGTTGATTCAATTACTAATTGTTTAACAAAAACAAAAAAAGCATTATCCTAAATGTTTTGTCGTATGTTTCTCCCATAACTTAGGACGGCAGCTTCTCTCCACATATGAGAGAGAGAGAGAGAGAGAGAGAGAGAATTTTCAATTTATTATACATTAAAATAAAAATAACACATGACCCAAAGTGAGTCATAGAGCACATAAACTGAGTTACACTGTACATTGGCGTGGCAAGTTCTGTATATGCTCTGTTTGGAATAGTCATTCATGTGTCACAGAAACAGTACGTCCCTTTTGACGACTAGATGGAAAATAAAGAAAAATATAATTAGTTATGGTAGAAAAGAATGAAATATATATATATATATATATATGTATATATATTGAAAGAAGAGAGGATAAATTTAGGCTGCGTTTGGTAGGGTGGGTTCGAAGGGAGAGAATAATATTACTTATAAAGGAAAGGGAAGGATAATTTTAGTCTCCTGTCGTATTTGGTTGATTATTGAATGGAAAAGAAATGAAAGGATAATAATCATGTTTGGAGAAAGAAATGAAAAGATAGGAAGGAAAATTATTTTAATAAATTTACTATAATGCTCTTTTATATTTTAAAATATAAATTTATATGTATATGTATATATATATATATATGTCTCCTTATATATATATATATTTGTCTCCTAAAGGTCCATGGATCAGCCACCAAAAAATGAAAATTTTTTTAGGACAAATCATTTCAGCCTCCATCTCTATTCTCGTTCTCAACTCTGAACTTGCCCTCTCTCTCTCTCTCTCTCTCTCTCTCTCTGCAACTGCAAACTACTACAAGAATCATTTCAAATTGTTCAAAAAATCAAAACCCAATTTCAGATTGTTCAAAAAATCAAAACCCATATCGATCTTTCAAGTTTCCATCGCCCGCTGTTCCAATTCAGGTTCGCAAGCTTCAGCCACTGGCCCTCTTTCTCTCAACTCAAGCTTGCCCCCCTCTCTCTGTGCAACTGCTAAATCAACTAATGAAGGTCTGTAATTCTTGTTTTGCAAACTAAATTCACATGTAATCAAGGGCAAAATTGTCATCTGAAATCACACACCAAGCCTCTCCTTTCCTTTCCCTTCATTTTCTCCCAATTTTGAGAGGTTAAGAAATTTACTGTTGAAGCCTTTTGTTAACCCTCCAAACCCTTCCCTTTCCTTCCAACAATTTTTGCCAAGCACAAATTTTTAATCCCCCTCTATCACCTTCCCTTCCCTTTCCTCCCTTTGCCATTGCACCAAATTGACCCTTAGCCTCTATTTGTGTTTTTAAAAAGGGTTTATTTTATTTTATTTTATTTAAAAAAAGTAAGTACAAATAGTAGAAGAAAAAGAACAAAAAATATTAATTATTTTTTTGTTATTGATAAGGTATTTTTTTTTTTTTCCGTGACAATGGAGTTTCTTCTTAGAGTGTCTTATGAAGTCATCTGTTTTATATGCATCTAATAATTACTAAAAAAATTCCATGCGCCTCTCAAAGTGTTTTTCTATTAAGCTATCTCATTAGGATAATATATATATATATATATTGAAAGAAGAGAGGATAAATTTAGCCTCTATTTGTGTTTTTAAAAAGGGTTTTTTTTTTATTTTAAAAAAATGTATGTAAAAATAGTAGAAGAAAAAGAACAAAAAATATTAATTATTATTTTTTGTTATTGATAAGGAATTATTATTATTATTATAATTATTATTATTTTTTTTCGTGACAATGGAGTTTCTTCTTAAGAGTATCTCATGAAGTCATCTGTTTTATTTGCATTGAATAATTACTGAAAAAATTCCATGCGCCTCTCAAAGTGTTTTTCTATAAAGCTATCTCATTAGGATAATAAATATATATATATATATATATATATATATATATATATATATCACTTGTTTTCCTCCTTTTTTCAAAGTTAATATATACAGAACGAGAGAGACAGAACTTGGATTAAAGGAGACAATTAATGGAGATTAAACTGATCTCAAACAGCATAAATGTCAAAAGCTGGGCCAGGTTTGGACTATCTCTCTCAAGCTGATTTTAATTTTTTATTTATTTTTAAACATTATTATTTATGATTAGAAAAGACAGTGGCCGGTACCGTACAAGATGGAAATGTCGGGGCACGTGATCATCTCGTGACAGAAATGCTCTCTGCCTGCAATGTAGCACATCGTAAATAACCTAGATTTTTGTTGGTGTTGTTCAGCAGGAAGCTTCCTTTCCCACCTTATTTGATGGTTTTCGCATTTATTTAACTACAAATATTAGATCTTCTTTGTTAATTAATTCTTTAAATGATTTTTTATTGATCCTAAAAATTCCATGCACGAGCAGCTCAGAACCCTACAGTTCAATGAATAAAGTCATCTTGACTGAATTCAAAGACTTGATAAGCTTAGATAATAAAGCCGAGTCTCTTAAAGAAAGTTCCTGAATTTAATATATTTATCTTACTTTTCAATTTGCTAATTTTACATTTTTTTTTTTTTTTTTACCTACTTTTTCCTTCATATATGTTAGTACGACACAACATTATTATGTGTACGAGATATATGCCTAACAAAAAAATTAAAATCCGACACCAACATTTTTACATGGCATGAGTCGAAAGAGAGAATTAATTCAAACCTAATAAGAGGTGAGTTTCATGTGAATGAAAAACCTTAAATTTTGCCACATACCATTTAATTTGAGTTTTTTTTTTTTTTCTTTAAAGATCATTCCTGTACGTTACAATGTAATAAAACATAAAATAAACTCCTATTTACATGCCAGTGTCTACATTCTCATATCTAACTTTTGAATGCATATTTTCTCATATTTTAAGATTTGGAATTTGAGAAGGTTTGTAACTTCAATACAACCCACATCTGAAACACTTATTCGAGTTTAGGTAACATAAGATGTAAACAAGGATGGAGCCAATGTATGGCCAGGGGGCACGTGCCCTCCGGCCTAGCCTGCTTACTATAATTTATATACTAAATTTATATATTTTTATATGTTTATATGAAAAAATTCATATAATACCCCCCTAAAATTTTTACTTTTTAAAATTATATCTATTAAATTTTTTATTTCTTCTCTTTGTTACTCTTTAAATTCATTTAATTTCCTTAGAAAAAAAAATCAAATTTTCTTTTTGAATCAAAGTCCAATTTTTTTCCCTTTCAAAATTCTCTCATTTTTCTTTCCTTTTTAAAATATTTGTTAATTATTTATCTTTTTTAAACAACTCATTGATTGACATATTATTTTGAATAATTTTTCTTCTTTACCTCTTGATTTAAAGAATCTATATTTATTGTTATGTCTATTGATTTTTTATTTTTTTTTTACACTATGCCCCCTAGATTTAATTTCTGACTGTATCCCTAGAGGTAAATATATATATATATTGTCCCTAGATGTAAATATATATATGTGTGTGTGTGTGTGTGTGTAAAATAATCAAATTAGAATTAAAAAGTATCTCTTGGTCTAATTGCAATATAAAGATAAGAATGCAGATTAAAGGATGAGGACCGTTAATTACTTTGTACAAAAATTCAAATGTGAACCTAGTCCATTCTTCCCAATACCTTCATTAAAAACAAAAAAAGGGTTTAGATTTTATCATGCATATATTAAATAATTAAAATAGAAAAAATAAAAAATAAACGACCAAGTGGATGCTTCTACATTGTATATGGCAAGTTCTTGTTACCACAAAAATTCAATAAGGATCATATGTGTGGTACCATCACAAATATGAACAAGACTGGCCTGGTGGAGGTGGCCCAAATCAAGCCCAAAAATTTAGTAGGCCATGTCTAGTTTTGGTCTGCCGTTTCTAACTGGGCTGCCATAAAGTTGCGTCCCAGTTAAATATGGGAGAGATTGCGTGGATTATGTCGACGGATTGCAGAGAGTGGATACGTATGGAAAGATATATATATATATATATCTTTCCATACGTATCCACTCTCTGCAATCATTTTAGAAATTAAAAAGTTTAGGGGTCATTATATTGAAATTATATATATATATATATATGTAGTGTATAATCTTTCTTAAACATATAAAAAAGGCACAACCATATATAAGAAAGATTATAACAGACAAAATCTTTATGAGAATGTGGAGGTGGACGCTAAACACACTCGGGCTCGGCACTCAACTAACTACATCACTGAGTAATGTCCATGCTGTTGGCCCATAAGATAGAAGCCATGAAATGAGAACAATTGGGTTGGGCTTATATATTATTAGCCTTGGGATGGGCTTAGGCATTATTAGCCTTGGTTGATCTATTAGAGTATATCGGTCTTTGCAGACATCGTAAACCATAGGGGTCGTTCTACGCGCTTGTCCAGTGTTTTGGGCCCCTGGCCTGCTTGTAAATTTCTTCATAATCTGTAGACAACTTTAACTTCCTAGTTAAGGGAACATGTGGGACATGCCTTGTCTCTTTGAAAAGTTACTAATTTGCCCTTATATTCAAGTTTGAAATTTTAAACTCCAAGGACATATATGGAAAGATATAAAATATATTGTTTGAAAAAGAAAAGTTGATAACTATTTTGGGACAGACCGAAAAGGAAAACATGACATCTTTTTTTGGGACAGAGGGAGTAAATAAATAAATTAGCAAAGTCAAAAAGATAATTGACTTCCCCCAGCTGACTATGAAATCTCTTGCTAAATTTGTGGCTCTATCTTTTGCAAGAGTATAAAAAAAAGGTCTAGTGATTTAAAATTTAAATTAAAAAAAAAAAAGAATTTATTGGACCTAATAAAGGAAATTTATAAGATTTATTTATGTTTGAGTGGAAGGAGAGGATCTGCGATATCCATATTCACATCTATATCTTCATAGATACTAAGATTATATAATTTGCAATATGTATCTTCATACCAAACCAAATTCATTCCGAACTTTCTACTTGTATCATTTAGGACTATTTTCTATCAAAATTTGAACATTATAATAAACATAATTCAGCTTTAGAACAGTCAAAGATAATTATACATATACAAGAAAACAAAGAAGCCCAATTATGAGAATCACACGGTCGTAATATTTTTTACTCATTTTTTTTTCCTTGGTATATTTGGATATGAGAGGTCATTTGAGGGTAAAGAATCAGTAGGTTTTAAATTGGGCTAGTTGATTATTGTTATTTAATCTTAGGCTCTTCAAGGAGTAGGTATTGGATACGGCACGACATGTTATAAGTATACCAATTCAATTAAAATATAACATATTTGATAATCATTAATTTTAGAAGTAGATGGACCAACTCTTTTTTAATGACTTAGTATACCTGACGCATTCAACACGTACCCCCACCCCCCCTCTCTCTCTCTTTCCCTAAATAAAAAGAAGTCTCCCTACTCTACCACATTTAGATAGTTCACATGCAAATTTCACTTCACAAAATGATTAATTTGTATGAATATTACAACAACATTCCTGCTAAGAAGCAATTACACCTCATGTTTGTAGAGACTATATCAAGAAGAGGTTTGCTTAATTTTGAAATGAATGGATTAAAATTTGATATTTTAATATACCATTTTATAAAATCATATTTTTATTCTCAATGCCGGTGACATACTAGCAGTGAAACTTCTGTTTGGCATATCTGGAGAGTATGCTCTCAACTTTTCCGCAATTGTGGAAGAAGAGAATTGTGAATTGTCCAAAGAAAGTTGTAGGAATTTGTATAGTAAACACTAAATTTAGAGAATTAGAGAAGAATAGAGATTTCGTAAATATTTACAATATTTTAGAGGAAAAAATTTTAGAGAGTAGATTATTTCATTTGATTGTAAAACATCCACTGCAACCCTTAGTAAAGAACACTTATATAAATGAGGAGAAGTCTCATTTGCAACCAACAAGCCCAGTGTTAGCAAAGCCTTTATTATAATTTTTTCCTAGTATTCCACAACAACTTGGTAGTATTGAGAATTAAAAAATGATCCAAAAAAAAATATATGGCAAGATAGTGTAAATGAGAATAAGTTTTAACAGTCAAATCTAATTTGGAATTTCAAAATTATTTCACTATATATAAAAATTTAAAATCTAATTATTGAAACAATGTAAAAGAATGAAATGAATTCTTATATGATATAACAGTATTTGTTTTGGTAAAATAATCTCTCTTCAAGCACGAATTTTATATACATAAAATGATCAAAATCAAAAATTAAAAAAAAATTCATTTGCTCTGCATAATTTCTGAAAACCTTTTTTAGTTCAATTATAACATTCAATTTTTCAACATTAAAAATGAAAAACATTTCATTGGTTATGCAAGATAATGAGAGAAACTACTATTTTTCACTAATATTTAACTTTGGTAATAATATAATAATGTAGTACTCCATAAAAATTCTAAATTGATGGGCAGCAAGAATCAGATTGCTTTACAAGAGGATAGAATCTTTCCCAACAATGTCCTATTTCAAAAGTCTGGTATAGAGCTGACTTACCATACCTCATCCCATGTCATTTACCCAACAATGTCATTTTTAACCATAACTCTCTCCAAAAAGAAAGTCTGCACTTTGAATAGTCATTTCAAAAAAGACATAGCATAGCATCTAGCTCAGACCACACTGTTCAACCGACAGCACATGTCTTCACTGATTTTGGGCTCTGCTCTTAAGTCTTTTCTGGTGGATTTCCAACATTCCCCCATTTAAAAAATGACTTCAAAAAGATGGTAGGGGTATATTTGTATTTTCAACTCCAGAGGTAGAATTGTAGTACATCCCATCAATGTTTTTAGGGTACTAAAAGTGAAAAAACTCTTAAAGAGTAAATGCAATTGACAAGAAAAAGGGGTAAGGGAAGACCTCTCAGACCAAAAGCAAAAACCCCCCCTATTGATTGAGAGAGGAGAGGTGTCATCCTCCACTCCTTTTCTTCTGCTAACAAACATGTTCAACAACAGCTCTGTGCTGGTCTCTCTCTGACAAAACCCCTCCTACTTTCCTCTCCTCTTCAACGCATTCACTATCATGAACCTCCAAACAGCTCATAGATTCACCACAACCAGAACATTCAAATCTTAATAACTACAATCGAACACCCATCCATACATCATACAATCAATGGCCTTATTCAGACATCATACCCTACAAAAACCCTAAACTATCAAAAACCTTTTTTTATTTTTCTCGAAAGTCAAAGTAATCACACACTTATTATTAATTGCATACCCCTAACAGAGCTCCAACTCTAAAACTTTCCTTTTATTAATTACATACTTTTAAGAGAGCTCGAACTCTCAACCTTCTCAAAAGACCTCTAACAGAACCCGAACTCTCAAAACTCTCAACTTTCCCAACAGACCAACTCTAATAGGGCCTGAACCATTCTAGTCATAACAAGAATTTAATGAGGTTTGAACTCTCAACCACTCTAATTGTACCACCACTGGAGGTATAATCCTAACTTAACATCTATACATGTAAGTCTACACCCAAAAACCTCAAGAATGATGAATTACCATCTAAATATCTATGTCTTGCACAAGATTAACAAGCATTCAGAATTAAAGCCTAAACAAGAAACAGAAATACAGCATTAATATATATGATTTCATTCATAAAAGCATCAAACTAGTACACATTACAATTAACTATGAAACATCAACATGGGTTATATATCTATCATTGATTCACTGATTGGATTGCTTGGTTTAGTGCAAATCTTTTGGTACTGATGTGAACCCATGACTATGGATGCCAATCTGTTCAACAAGCCTAGCCAACTTCACATGCTTCCCACACCATGCCTCCATCAATTTTGCTTCTTTGCTATCAGCATCTCTCTGTAGGGCACTGAGTTGCTCTTTGTATTCGCTCTCGATCCTCCCAAGAAAAGCCATTTCTTCCTCTCTCAAACACCTTATCTTTCCTTCAATTTCCTCCATTTTCTCTCTCCTCTTTCTAGCTTTCTCACTCTCCAACTGCTGCTCCAGCCGGTTCAGCCTCCATGTAGCTTCCTTCTTGTGCTGTAACCAGCTCTGTCTTCCTTCTTCAAGCTCTCTACAGTACTGAACGAGATTACCCACTTGCTGAACCGGAAAGAACCGGCTCGGTAAGCCCATTTCCGGGTGAACCGGTTCGAGAACCGCCGGTTCGGAAGGAGAGAGTGTGAGACTAACGGAAGGAGACGGGGTAGACGAAGAGGACGACAGAGACGACGTCGTGGAGTTCATCCACGACGGAAGCACAGAAGACGGCGTGGTGGAGGAATTGACCGGTTCGGTGCCGAGAGAAAGAACCGGAACCGGAGGAGCCGATTCGGACAGGGCTAAATTCGGCATTACGGGCAAAGGGAGGGACTGAAATGCAAAAAGCTTCGGCTGGACGTACTTCTCAGCAAAGGTCTCGAGTATGTGGTCGTACTTCCCCTGGAGGGCTTTTTCCGGCGACCCACCACCGGAGACGGCAGAAATCGCCGGTGGGTCGGCGTAATCCTGGCGTTGCTGCGATTTCTGGAGCTGCTTGAGCTGCTTCTCCTTGAAAACCTCCCACCACTTGCCGAGCCTCTTGGCGGTCCGGCCAGGGACCTCCGATGCGATTTTCTTCCACTTGTTGCCGTACTTGGATTGGAGAGAGATGACTAGGGTTTGCTCTTCTGGGGTGAGAGAGCCTTTCTTGATGCCTGGTTTGAGGTAGTTTTTCCATCTCTCGAGGCATGATTTGGGGTCTCTGTCAAGGGCTTTGCCCATGCGTTGGGAGATGAGGCTCCATTCTTTGGGGCCATATTGCTTCACGTAGGCCCTGAGGAGTGCGTCTTCTTCTGGCTGCCACCTTTGACGCTCCTTCATCTCCTAACCACCACCATCACCATGTCTAGTTTTTGTTCTTCCAGTTGTGCTTGGATGAGTAGTCCAAAATCTCCATCTATCTACACCATTTTTTGAATTGGGTATCTCTCTTTTTTGAGAAAGATTTGTGTGTTTGTGGATGTTTATGGAGAGACTGAATGTGTGTGTGTATATGTATATATATATATAATTCACAACTGACAGAGAGAGATGGCAATGTAGCAGGAGATATGGGGATGAATGGGAGTGAGGAGGGGATATAAAGCTGATGCAAGGGGGGTGTTTTGATGTTATGCTAGGGGTTTGGGGTTGATTGTTCAACTCGCGATGCAAAGCGTGTAGTCACGCGCTGATTGTGAAAAGATAGGATTTATAATTGAGAAATTATTTCCTAATATGAAATTACACAATCATGTGATTTTTTTTTTTTTTTTTTAGGCAATCGTGTGATTAATGTACATGCAAAAATTTCTCAGATTAAGAGGTGTAGAGTATTGGATCCACAAACTCTCCTCTAGCTGTGACAACGTCAACAATTGTGACATTGTTAAATATTAATATTGTAATTATAAACAATTAGTTAAAGTTGAATGAATGATTCAACTACACATCATTCATTTTTATTCGATTTTGAAATAAATATGAATTAAACTCATTATAACGGATTTAGAAAATTTGAAATCAATCCAAACTATTAAAAAAGTAGAACCAAATTATACCTGATTATAGTAATTAATTTAATTCGATTCTATTTAACGATTTTGGACCTTCATATGTATATTTAAACAAGTATATTATACAATAAATATCTATATACTACGTATTTATTATTAATAGTTTAGTTTAGTCCTTTTGAACTCCCAAGCATAAACAATGGTTCCTTAATTTCTAGAATGCATTATAGAACCGGACTAAACTATACGGTTTGGTCCAATCTGATTTACTGGTTCTTATGGTTTATGATCTATTTTATTAAAAGAGGTGGGTAATGGATGCACTTGATTTAACTCTAACATTGTGTCTCTGTGTGTGTGTATATATATATATTGCAAATATATTTGAATATGTGGATGGATTGAAGGTTTGAATGAGAGTGGGATATAACACGGATGATTTGAGGAAGGGAAAACTCAGAGGGGAGGGGTGGCAGGATGGGGAGGGGGTTGGTTGAGGGGTTTGCAGTGCAGAAGAGGGACGGCAGAGTCAGAATAAGGGCGGACAAGACGGGACAGTGTGCCTACTTATATGTACAGTATTCATAGATGAGAAAGATGCCAAATCAATATGAGCTGTGTGTGTGTGTGTGTGAGAGAGAGAAAGAATTGTGAGATGGGGAGGGAGGGTCTTCTTTACACTCCTTCAATGCCCGTGTGATTACGCTCCAATTATTGGCGGAGCAAAAGTCTAAGGACAATGCCCTCCAAATATTGATACATTCACCACATCATGCAATATACCAACATCCTAGGGAGGCACTTTTCAGAAATAAATAAAAATATATATATATATATATTTATACACACACATAAATACATATGAATCAGAGAATGTTAAAGTCGCGATTGTATAATCTCGGTTTTCAAAATTTATAAAACCATTTATATAATCTTAATATTTGAACTTGCATATCTTGCTACGTGACTCGTAAGATTTAAAGACCGATAATGCTCAGTCACGAAAATTACAATTATAAAAAGCACAATTCTATAAAGGAGATATTGAAGTTCCTTTTTCTTCATTTTTTTTGCATGAACAAATTTGACATATTATTTAAGGTATTATGAGATTCACAAAATTTTGTTTGCATTCGGAGTTTTCAAGTCTAAAGCAATCAATGAATGAATTCATTATATTTGAAAGCATTGAACTGGGATTTTAAGATTGGAATTAGAGAAAATTTAGTTTTTATTAAATTTCTTCCAATTCTAATTCTAATAAGACCATTTGATGCTCTCAACCAAAACAATGCCTGAATTGAGATCTTGAAATTGAAATAGGAAGAAATTTAATTTGTTCATTTATTAGGTTTTGAATAAATTTGTTTTGTGAAAAAGTAATACTAGATCCTACAATAAATGAGTTTCACACTTGAATGGAAGTTGTACAACAATGTTCAGAAGCCTCCCTCTTTTTGTTATAGTTGGTTTACGCAACATGTGACCAATAAGTGCGCTGTTGTCACTACATCGATGTGAACTAAATAGATATTCACTTTTTATAGGTCCATGGTTTCATCAATAAGTGCAACCTTTATTTCCCGAGATGTCCTAAATGAAAACTCTCTGATGAGAATTTAGCATTTGATTGAGCTTTTCTTAATTAATCACGTTACATTAATCATTTAATTATTATTATTGTTGTTATTTTTTTTTGAAAATAATGATGGAAGATCAAAAATAGTACTAGCTATGAGTACTTCAACCATGTGCCTCACGTGGATTCCATCATAAGAGAATCTCACAGTAACATCAATCACAAGTCCACAACCAAATGAGTATTTCAATTAGTTCAATCATTCTTTTTTTTTTCATTTAAAAAAAAAAAATCTGTTAAATAAAGTATTAATTAAATCATAGTAGATGAAGAATTGATCAAATGAGATCAAGCCAATTAGGGCATTTTTGCCAACTTGCAAGAGTCAAAATGTGCTTAAGACATAGTCACTTTTTATTTATTTATTTGACTTTTCTAATTCAAGAACCATTAAAAAGGCAATAGATTTTTAGGATAGTAAATTTATTAAACTCCGCGTGCATGAAAAATGCTTATGCGACAGTTCCCATGGAGCACAATTTTTTTTTTTTTTTTTAATGATTTGGAAACCCTTGCAACTATTCGCCCTTCGAACTTGTACTTAACACGTAAATCTTCAGCTACCTACCCCAACCCCACAGTGCAGATAATATTTTAAGTCGGAAATGAAAATGGACGGGTTCGAAAATGAGGCATGGTGGTGTCCATATCGTTATCTTACCAACTCTACAAAATCCCTGAAGACACGCAAATCTTTTACCTAACATGTGAGTGAGATCTGTTTAATATTGTTTTACTGTAAAGAATTCATATTTAATTCAAATGATAATATCTTAATAAATACTTGTCACTTGTAATGTCATTATTTTTAGGATTAGTTTCTTGTCTTAAATATATATATATATATAACTTTTTATAAAATACGGAGTAATAAAGAGTTTTAGAAATGAGAGGAGGGCGTGGATGGACGCGCAAAGAAAAACGCGTGAAAAGGAAGTAGAAGTTGGGAAATGGTAAACGAGACCCATAAACGCATTTCTCGGATCTGCTGGGGGGCCTCATTTGTCTTTGGTTGGGTGGTGGGCCTAAAGGCCTATATGTCTCTCTATGCGGTGCGTGCCAAAAGCCCTGCTCGGGGGGTTGAATTTCTGTAGCAAATCCCAACCCCACCCACCCCCTCTCTTTTGTTAAGTGACCCTGGATCATGTGCCCCCATCACTTTTCTCTCCTTTTGTTTTTTAAGATCCAAGATTCAAATTCAACTGGGAACCCTGATCTTGTTACTTTTTTTTTTTTATTTGAGCAGTGTCGTGGAGTTGATTTCATGGAGTTTGAATTCTCTCACATACTATATTATGAATCTCATCACTCATGAACGATAGAATGTTGCAGTGCGTATGTTGTACTGTAGAAGATTCATACTTGTATTTCATGATAACTATCTTGACTTTCTCCCTTGAATTAATACATTTTGAGTACTAAAAATTACACCCGAATCATATTATATATCTAGTTACTCATATTTATATAATTTTGTCAAATAAAATCATACGGAAATATCAAAGGGTAAATTAGAGTACTTGTTAGTCATCCGAATGATAGTTTAATGGCAAAAATTCCTTCCCACGTCTTGGGACCGGGAGTTCAAATTTGAACTACCTTGGGATTACTCCCATCGAGTCTCACGATAATTGTCAGGTGCATGTGAAATGAGAAAAACTGCATGTGCTCAATGGTGAATTATGAGTGCTCTAAAACACCTTACACCTTGAAAAAAAACAGAGAGCAAATGAGTCGTAACTTTTCTCATTTTACTTTAGCTATGAGTATCCTTATAATTAGTCAATGGAATTTTATTATTGAACTTAATGCACTCCTCCAGTTGAAGATTGTGGTGTGGACTGCAAATATATCCCAAATGGGATGATCAATATATTTTTGGTAATGGTAGAATACTGTTAATCCGATTTCAATCAAATTTAAAATATTTCTTAGGTACTTAAAACCCAATATTTTTCAGTATATTAGTCAATTCAACCCTAATATTTTTAGTATATTTTTGTGTTTTGTTTGCTCTGTTTGTTTAGTCGTATTTTATGGGTGCAATGCCTGGAATCTTAAATCATGAGCTTAGCTAAGACAGACATGTCATGTCATATCCAGGGAATAAATAAGTATGGGCTGCTAGTTCCGCATTCCATGCAATGGACGACTACTAGCAAGCATTCAATGTCTCTATATGCGCGCAATATATATATATATATATATATATATATATATATTTGTATGTATATATATTTGTATGTATAATAATAATAATAATAATCTCTGAAAAGATCTCAGCATCAAGAATAAAACATTGTTTACTTCTATGATTTCTATCCCTTTTTTTAATCTTATTTAGATTTATTTTAGCAAACTAGTCTCTTTTAACTTGTGTGTTAGTTACTGTAAATTGTTAATCCTTGATTAACAATAACTTAAGAACCATTAACACTAATTTATTAATTTCCTCTGCTTTTGCCGGTACTCGCCAACGTACCATTAATTGTTTCTCAATAATTCATTTTCAGTCACCAATTCACAACAATTTGTTGCAGGCATGAAGCAAACTCATAACCATACATAGCATCAGTAGTGAATCAGTGATTGCCTGTAAAAGGAAATCCTCGAAAATCAGAATCAAATTAATGTTTCCAAAAGCATAAGGCAGTGGTTTGGCTGTTTCTCATAATAATGCATGTCACATATGTTTATTGTTGCACATAATTTGAAGGGGTACATATATTTGGTGTCCTCATCTCAAAGTCATTCATTCATCTCCTTCAATTATAAGCAAACACTTGCAGGAGGACTCTTTTAAGTAGGTCTAGTACCAAGCCATAGTACATATATGATATATATATATATATATTGAAAGCACTAAGGGCTTTTGGGATTCTCAAGTAGGGCAGTTTTAGGAGTACGGGTGGGGGTGTCATAAGGCCAAAATGGACTAGCTT